GCACACACTGTGTGCTCACCTACTCTTCTATATTCTTAAAGCACACAGTGTGTGCTCACCTACTCTTTTATATTCTTAAAGCACACAGTGTGTGCTCACCTATTCTACATTCTTAAAGCACACACTGTGTGCTCACCTATTCTCCTACATTCTTAAAGCACACACTGTGTGCTCACGTATTCTACATTCTTAACAGAGCAGCTCCAAGGGACTGCACGGTGAGTTGCGGCGTTTCTGTCAAGCAGTCTCCTACGGGAAGGAGTAATAATCACCAACCTTGATTTGCCTTTGAAGACCACTGCGTATTTTATAAACAATAGAGCAGTATGTCGGTACACACCCTTGGTCCCAGCCCTTGGGAAGTGGAGGCGGAAGGATACATGGTTAAGAGCACACACTGCAGAATTTTAAGATGTATCAAAGAGACAGACCAAAACAGCACTCCCTTCTGCCACCAGGAACGTGTGGTTTCCTGAGCCAAAGCCTCAGGAAACTATGGAAGGTGACAGCCTGGGCCAGAGAGAGCCTGCTCCTCTGAGTTCCACTGAGTTGTTAGCACATGGGAGCCATTTTACTCATCACAGAAAATGACAAAGTCACGTGACAAAAAGGTCCCTGCTGTTACCTGTCTCAATGTCACTGTCAATATCCAGGGTCTCGTTAGGAGAAATCATGGCGCCTGTCTTGTAGTGCTGCTTACAGCATCTCAAGCCAGTTCTGTTGTCTTCATTCTCTCCATAACCAAGAGTTGCCAGGGAAATGTTCTTTAGACGACGATACTGTTTTTATAAAAACACAGTTAAATAAACACATGAGTTCTTAAAAACACAATTTTAATCAAGGTCCCTTCACATGAACGGACTCCCACCCCAGCCAAGGCACCACTGAAAATGGCCAAAGGAATTTCTTCCTTATGACTGCTAGCAAGAAACTCAGCTGAACTTAGTAGCATGTTTTGGCCATTAGGAAGCCAGCCTTCAATACTACACATCACACTTTTCTTCATCTGTCTAGCTTTCTCTTCTAGAAAGGCCAGGACTTTATCCATTCTATTCACTGCAACAGCATCAATGTGCAGTGCTTGCCAAATACCAGGGACTTAAATATTTATGGAATTAATGAAAGGGGAAAAGGCACAAAACAAAACACTACCCCTAGATACTTTCTTCAGATCTAACAACTTCACACTGTATCATAGCCCATATTCTTAATATTTTGCTAGAATTATTAATGCTATAATATCAATTTTGAGACCACAACATACTCTCAGATTGAGTTTCAAATTTAAACCTGATTTTATAATCTCTTAACTCTGTTGTGGGAATCTCCCCAAAGTAGTGGTTCTGAATCGATACGCTAAAACGATTAAAACCTAGAGAAAAATTTTAAGTGGGTGAGTTCTATTATTAGTGCCTGAATTAGTAGTAAAGACTTTGGCAAGCTATGAAAAATTTATGTGAGATAATATTTGTTGGTTTGCTAAAACAGCACAACCACGCATCACTATAGTGTTTAAGAGTAGGACATTTAGAACACTTGCCTGCTTTATAGCAAAGAAGATGCTGTCATAGACGTCCTCCTGGGTGTACACACTACAGCTGTAGCCATCTTCATCGACTCCAGAAAATCCTTTCAAAAACAGATGCTTAAAAGCAAGAGTGTTATCTTCTTTGAAAGCCACCACCAGCTGGTTACCTAAGCCAAAGCGAACAAGCTGCAAAAGAAAACACAGGAATGTGGTTTGTACCATTGACCAGGGAAAGAAAAAGGCTGCTGATTCTTATTAATTCTCATCTCAAAGCATCTGGAGGAAAATATCCATTGCTTGACTTACACAATAAGAGCAACATTGTTGAAAACACCAGCCTGAAAGAGAATCGTCCACTGCACTGGATCAACAACTCCCAGTAAGAGTGTGTGGGACTCAGACAGCATCCCAGAGAACGATGCTGGGACATGCCGGGACCGTGAGCTGAAGAAGCAGTCCTAAGGCTTCTCCCACCCTGTCTGTCCTGGGACTTTCTCTGGGGTTCCTTAGCCTGACAGAAGCGCCTTCCGACAGACAGGACTGTCACATGCTTCTCTGTTTCAGCAAGCAGGGAAGGAGAAATGAGTCAGAAACGACAGTTGGTACCACACCCAGGACTTTGCTCCTGAATATTTTCTCTCCTTTAGGGTGTCTGCGCCTTTAAAAATCACTTGCTGGTGAGGATGGTGGCCATTCCTGCAATACTAACATGCAGGGAGCAAAGGAAGAAGGATTGCCGTGAGTTCAAAGCCAGTCAGGTTATATAATGAGACCCTGTCTCAACATCTCCCCTCCCCAAATCATCTATTTACTGACATAAAGTCAGATACTCAAAGATTGTCTTTATCAAGAGCTACAGTTTTCCCCTTAGACTCCATCAATAGGAAAAACAGCTATTGCCACAGGTTCATAAGAAGCCAAGAAGCTGCACATAATGTTATGCCCATGCACATGCTACCACACAGGCATGATCCCTCTTCACACACATTGTGCATATGTGCACATGCCTGTAGTGCAAGCCTTCATCCCTGCATTCTGTCACATAGAGCATACTCTCAATCAAAACAACACACATATACACACACACATATCACACAGGCTTAATCCCACTCTCATGCATACACACACACATACACACACATGCACACACACACACAGGCTTAACCCCCCATGCATATACACACACACATCACACAGGCTTGATCCCCCTCTCATGTATACACACACACACACACACACACACACACAGACACACATGCGTAAACATGCATGCCTGCAGTGCACGCCTTTACCCCGTACTCTGTCCCACATAGCGTGCTCTCGTTCAAGGCTCCACACATAAACACATTGACACACAGGTGGCTGTGGTAAAGGAAACCTCAGCAAGCTTCTCACACACACCTTTCCCACTTCCCCAAGCGGTCTTACAAACCAAGACTCCAGAATGTTTCCTCAGAGTGACCACCCCACTGAATCATCATGGAACCTTGATCTGTGTCTCATGTGTGAAATCAGGAAAGTGGACTGGGTGACCCTGACATTTCTGTCATATCCGGTGTTCCTCAGCACGCTATATACACACAACAACACATAAATCATGAGACTGACAAAATCGGCATTAGGACTTCCCAGGGGCTTACAGTTTTAACTTTTGTATTTTGTCTGGTTGGGTTTTTAGTATGTCTTGGTGTGTGTACATGTTCGCATCCATGTTCACATGTGTGTACATGCATATGTGTGTGGAGACCTGGAGGTTAACATTGCGAGACTTTCTTGATCATCCTCCACCTTCTTTATCGGGATGCAGTCTCTCACTTGATTGCGGTTAGTCTAGCTAGCTAGCTTGACCTGAGAAAGCCTTGTCTACTTCCCACAGTGGGGGGGTTACGAGAACACCACGAGGCCCGCCTGCCTTTACATGGGTACTTGGATCTGAACCCTGGTTACACATGGACACTTTAGCCACTGACCTAACATTTTGTCTTTTTTAAAAGCCCACTGAATCCAATCAGTGCTGAATATGAGAATGTGTGTTGATTTTTAAAGACTGAACAGTTAACAGCAAGAGTCCCCATGTTTTCAGCAACTGCCATAAGCCAGCCCCCAGCCCCCATCACTGACAGGTGCATCTGCATTACCCCGTCCACCACTACCACCAGCCCTTGTTATCACCACGCTATTGCCTCAGCCCGTACTTTACACTGATGCTAACTGGATTAGCCTGCATGAAACTGCCCCCAGCCTCATAGCTAGAATGGAAGTTGAGCTTGGCTCCAAAGCTCTTTATTACACCGCATAAGCAAAGCCTTTCCACTGAAAACTTTAAAAGGTCTCTGGGAAACTTCTCAGAAGGAGCGGATTTAGTGCCAGACTTTTCAGAAGCAGCCATTGCTTGAGCAGGTCGACAGATGATACTCTCTAGTCCCTTAACGTCATCACACCGAATTCCTCAAATACCAATGCTTAAACAACTACCAGAAACACAGCTATTCTAAGAAAAACAGCAGAGAAGATACCCCAAGCCTATTCCAACCTGTACTGAAAATCAAGCAATAAAAGCCAAATTCTCCAGCTAAGTGAGGACCTTCAATGCTGAGGTCTCCTGCAAGGGATGTCAGCAAGGGTTGGGTTGTTTTCTAAAAGCTAAAACTATAAACGAGGGAAGCAACACACAGGAGTGTTTGGAAGATATGAGAGAGGTCAGCCATCTCCGGACAGTCTGAGCAGTAGCCCCTTGAATGAAACTCTTTAATCATCGTGTATAGAGTGGTTCTTGCCCCAGCTGGAGTGGAACAACAGAGGTTGTCCACGGTGCTGAGTAATGATTCATCACAGAGCATCAAGCATTGTGATTTTTTTAAAAAAAAAAATGTATAATGACTTCATTTAATTCACCCATTAAACTTGGACACCATGAGGAGGAGGCTTTGACACCATGAGGAAGAGGCTTTGTTTGTTTGTTTGTTTGTTTGTTTGTTTACATAGCGCCATTGAGTCAGAAGGAGAATGGGTGACAGTTGGATGGTGACCCGACTGTCACCATCAAACAGAATCGCCTGGTGAATGTAGCACCATTGTATATGTGTACAACCTGATGACCGGCCATATAGTCAGGCCCGAACATCTGGAAAGCGTCTAAGGGTCTGAACACGGTTCTTCCTGATGCTAGGACCTGTGAATCATCTCAGCCACTTTGCCACACTATTACAGCCAAGGCTGTCACCTGACTCTAGACACGGGGCTGTGAGACCCTCCCTTCCCACCCTCGTAGTGAAGTCGAAGGAACACAAAGTGTCTGAGGAAGGAATTGACAGACTGATCACAAATGGGGTGCATGATTTGTTGATATAGAAAGCCACAGCCTTATTTAAACTCAAAGCCATCAACACGACTCTGAGATGAAGAGATGGTGACATTGTGATGCCTGCCTGTGATCACTTCCATCTTGGAAGAAGAACAGAAATTGTCCCCGATTCTCTTGTTCAAAGAAAAAAACCAATGTCTCTATGCACAGCCCAGTGTCATCAGGTAAGGGCTGAAATTGCCAAAACTCTTGGGAGAGACCATCATGAGAGGGAAATGGTGTAGTCTCTGGCCTTGGCAGAACCAACTTTGCCTAAGCAGCAGGAGCAAGGGAGAATGGTTTTGACTAAATGACTTTATTCTCAAAAAGTGGCAGCAAGAAACTACATCCCATACCACTAACTAAATGCAAAAATTTGCCATGAACAAGATACAAAACACACACACACACACACACACACACACACACACACACACACAAATACTCATTCAATGTAGTCAGGTAAAACTCGGAATCAAAGTCCTCATTATAAAATCAGTGTAGGAGAAAACATACTATGCCCAGCAAAAGCAAGATGTCACTCTGACTGTTGTACAGCATAGAAAGACTGAAACTCAGGAAAGAAGGCGGACACCTTCCCTGAGATCATAAGTCATTGCCGAACACAGAGCTAGCTTCTTTTTTTTTTCTTTCTAAAATGTTTCCTACTCTGAAAACCTGAGTAAATGTCTCTGTGCACTTCAGACTCACTGGATAAGGAAGAGACAGGGAATAAGGAGGCAGGAAAGGTGGGATGAAGTAATGAAAAGTGACCAAGCCATCCACAACTAGATGATAGGTAGGTAGGTGGGTAGATAGATAGATAGATAGATAGATAGATAGATAGATAGATAGACAGACAGACAGATAGATGTTAGAGATAGATAGATAGATAGATAGATAGATAGATAGATAGATAGATAGATAGATAGATAGATAGATAGGAAGGAAGGAAGGAAGGAAGGAAGGAAGGAAGGAAGGAAGGAAGGAAGGAAGGAAGGAAGGAAGGAAGGAAGGAAAAAAGAAAGGAAGAAAGAGGTCACATGGGAGTAAGACTGTGGCAGGAGTAGATTGTAACTTGTAGGATTATATTAGTAGAGAAACAGAAATCCACACAAAGAGTAAAGTACCAGTTCTCAGAATTTGTTTATTATTAAAAGTAAAATAAGTAATGCCGGCAGCAGAGCAGAGTGAGGGACCTTCCACACAAAGGGGGGAGCGAGTCTTCAGGTCACACCTGCAGAGCGAAGAGGAGAAGAATCCCTCTGCAGAGAGGTTCAGACATCAGCAAGAAGCATCAGGTTGATCTGGCTGGCGTCTGAACAGGAGGCAGTAGATGAAACTTCCCTGGACAGAGGGTGAAGAAGATGCTGGGAATTCATGAATCCTGGACTATAAATTCATAGTTGTCTTCTGGGAAAAGGAGTACTTTTCAGAACTTCCTGAGCAGTGGTTTGTGAATTGCTTGCCTCGCGAGTATGATGGTCTTGGTTCAATCCCCAGAACCTGTATAAAATGCTGGGCATAGAAAGATTGTGTGGAATTCCTGTGATAGCAAAGTGGGAGAAACGAGGGAATTCCCCTAGCTTTGATGACTAACTACCCGAACAAACTGGCGGAAGCTCCAGGCCTAGAAGAGACCCTGTCTCAGGACCCCTGAGGAATGACACTCAAGATGACCTCTGATGTCCGTGTGCACTCACCCACAGTAGAATTTCTGAGCAGGAGGATAATGACGTGAACACTTTCCTAAGAAAGACCAGTAGGATTGGGCTACAGTTAGAGTTAAGAGCACTGGCTGCTCTTCCAGAGGAGCCAGGCTCAGGTTCATCCCTCATGTGACCACATGGCAGCTAACAACTTCTGCAACTTGAACCCCAGGGAATCTGACACCTTCTCCTAGACCACGGAGGCACTGCACACATGTGACACCCAGATGAAACACTCAAACATACAAAATAACAAAATAAAAATAAGATGATAACAGCATTTGAAGAGACTGAAACTTGTTCGAGACGAACTTTGAAGCAGTCTGGCCCACTGGCCTGTCTTCCTACCTTCAAACCTAGAAGACAAAGCCTGTATCCAGCACAAGATGCCAAATGAGACCAAGAGCTCAGGCTTTGGAGACTGACGGGGCTCAAACCCAGCTCTGCATGGCACCAAATTATTTAACCCCTTTGTCCCAGTTTCTTCGTCCATGAAAAGGGGATTCTAACTGAGCCCAATACACAGGTTGCAGAAAGGATAAACTGAGTAAGCATGCCTAAGGCCCTCCTCACGTCATTGGCAACCATTGACAGTGAGCTATCAGCAGCAGTGGAGGTAAGTAACTAAGTGTGTCTCAACTCAGTGCCCTGCAAATGAGATGTTTCTTCTGGGTTTGAAATCGGAGATAAATGTGGATGGAAAGATGTCTCAGTGGCTAAAAGCATTGGCTGCTTTGGCAGAGGACCAGAGTTTGGTTCACAGCACCCACACTGGGCAGCTCACAACCAGGTTTAATTCCCAGTCCAGGAGATCTGACGTCCTCTCTGGTCTATCCAGGTACTGCACGCATATGTGCCTACTCACAAACATGTAAATCAGAGTTAAAAAAAATCTAAATCAGAGATAAGAAAATACACTGGGGAATGCTGAGAATGGGAAAAGTATAAGCAGGTAACATTTTGAAGAGGGAAATTAGTGTGGTTCAATAGTATCTGGACTAAAAAAAACTAAGTTAAGGATTGCAGTGATTTTTTTTATGCCTACGGTAGTTACAATTTTAATGACAGTACTAGATTAAAACATCAAAGTTTAAGCAAGATAGAAAACTGGTAAATAATCAACTAAATCGTTTCTTTGCCTTTTAAGAAACAACGAAGAAGATCCTAATTAATAGGTCACCAAAATTAAAACTTGAAAACCAAGATTGGTAACGGGCAAGTGATACATCCTGTTAACCACACCCCTGCACACTAGATGCGCCGGATTTTGCTTCTTCTGAAGTGACTGCTTGTCTTTCTTTCTTTTAATTACTCTTCTTTTGTTTTATTATATTAATGCATTTGAGTGTTTTGCCTGAATATATGCCTGTACACCACATACAGGCCTGGTGTCTACAAAATCCAGAAGATGGCATCAGATACTCTAGGTCTGGAGTTATAAGTATGAGCCGCCGTGTGTGCTGGGAACTGAACTCAGGTCTCCGGACGCCTCAGAACCTCAGAGCCATCTCTTCAGCCCCGTGACTTGCTTTTCTGAATGAGCTGGGACTGCACATCACCCAACCTGAAGACTCCCATACAAACTCAGAGTCAAGTTGCAGCTGTAACCACAGCCGAGGCCCTCTCATTTCCACATGGAGGCATTCCTTCCAGTTTTTATGCTGTATTTCAGAAAAACCATCCTTTTGGATTGATGGTACCAGTAGATTAGGTACAGTAGAGCTAAAGACTCCAAATCAGTACTGTTTTGTTTTCTTTTCTCAGACACTGTAGTCACCTCCGGAGAAGTCACCCACAGATGAGGTCAAAACCACAGCTCAAAAGCTAGATGACAGCACTGGTGGCCATTCCAGTTCTGGTGATAACTGAGCTGCAGGACGACCTTAAGTCAAGGTCCAAATGCAATGCTCAGACATTCTTGATAGTGCCTGGTAGTTAGCACGTACATGGTGGGGGGGGGAGAGGCACAATGCTTCTGATTAAGGAAACAGTGTTTTCTATGTCTGAAGACTTTCAAAAACATATTAAATAATGTAAGATGGATTCTTGAGAACTCCTTGGCAGCCTGTACACCTCACATGGATTGGGGGTGAGAAGATTAAGAAACCCCTTCTACATGGATCTTCTTTTATCCGTTTTTTACAGCTCCTATGGAGACATGACCCCATGAATTCTTACTGAAACCAGGTCTTCTGAACTGAACTTTGGCCTGATCTCTGCCCTCTGCTCTCCAGCAGAGACTTAATTTCAGTCTCATGCACTTCAGTATGAGTCTTGCAGATAAACAAGCAAGAACAGAACAGGAGGAGATGATTGGATCTCGGGGAAGGAAGGAGTAATCGTGTGAGTTACCTGTGTGGTTACCATGACTATCTTCAGAATCTGCAAGCCCAGCTTCCATGGGATCTGGCGTCTGGCTCGGTATTTCTCACAGGGGCTCATGAAGTAGAACTTCAGGTCTTCCCTCAGACGCTCTTCCTTCACCTCAGAATCGAGAGACGCCATCGTGCTTCTGCCAGAGAAGACAGTTGTTAAACACCCAGGAACAGCCTGTGCTCCCAGCGCTCCTGGCCTACACCTCCTGGTCACAGACATCACCTGTTCCCAGACACAGACCTCTCAGACCGGTGACCTCAGGAAATCTAAAGGGGGCTCCACTCCTTTGTCACCTGTCTTTGCACATAATGACCCATCTCACTCAAAACGCCTACTGGCGTTTCCTACCTCTTACTATACAGTATCTCCTGTTGTTAAGAGTATGGGTGGAAGGGTGGGAGAAGAGTGTGAAAATGTGAGCATTTCTGGGTGCAAGATCATGCTATTCCAAAAATAACAAAATAGAAATCCAGCATGACACTTTGTGCTTGAAATGACTGGCATTTTATGTAAATCGATGCCATTTAATCATTAAGGATTTAGAGAATCTTTGTCCTATAGCTCTGAGAAAGATTATGTCCCCCATTTATGGATAAATACCAATGATTACAAGATTCCAGAAGAGAGAGTAGTGGGGATGGACATGACAGTAATACATATTATACATGCACAAAATTGTCTACGAATAAATATTTAATGCAAAATGTAAACCGCTTGAGAGAGCTAGGATAGCAGCTCTCTGCTGACGCCCAGCTATATTCTTGTCAGCTTGGCTCATCAACTCCAAACTGCTGGCTGGACCTGTGATCGTCAAGGCCAGAGACAAGCAATGAGAGGTGGCCACGGAACCGTGACCATAACTGATGAAACACATGTTTCTCAGCCAAGTCTCCAAGGTGAGGAGTACAAAATACGTTGGGCATAGAGAAATTATTAACGCTAAAAACATGAATTTTACTAAGAGATAATGTAGCATAGAACGTATATAATATAAAATTAATCTAAATTTTACATATAGCGTAATAGAACAATGTGTAAGGTATACTTCGCAGTAGAGTGTAATCAGTATGATCATGACTGGACTGTTGTGATATAGTTCTGCTGTTGGGACAGAGTTGACACAGATCAGAGGTCGAAGATTGAATGGGTGAGCTGTGGCTGTGAGCTTGGCCTTGCTGTTTAAACAACACCCTATACTATTATCTGGGCTGTCTACCGGGACCAACAACTTTAAAAGAAGCCGAAAGGCATGATAGGGTGGGTATGAACATCACAGTGTGCGTGAGCGGTCAGAAGACAACTTCACGGAGCCAGTTCTCTCCTTCCACCTTTATGTGGGACTGAACTCACGTCTGCAGCCTTCCACAGCAATTACCTTTACCGACTGAGCCATCTTGCTCACCCTGGTTTTCTAGTTCTAAATTGATTTTCTTTTCTTTTTTTTTTGTTTTTGTTTTTGTTTTTTGTTTTGTTTTGTTTTTTTGTTTCCAATATAGGGTTTCTCTGTAGCTTTGGAGCTTGTCCTGGAACTAGCTCTTGCAGACCAGGCTGGCCTCGAACTCAGAGAGATCTGCCTGCCTCTGCCTCCTGAGTGCTGGGATTCATGTGCACCACCACCACCTGGCTATAATGCTCTTTCTAAAATTGGTACACTAGGTTAGCTAGAACCATCCTACCAGAAGTTTTAAAAGGAGATAAGAAATGAAGGAAGAAGGGAGAAGGAAGATAGGAAGGGAGGGAGGGACAGAAGGAGGGAGGGGGGAAGGTTAAAAGAAAAGTGAAGGGAGAGAAAATGAGGGGGAGAGTGAGGTAGTTGGGGTCTCTGTTGCTGTGCAGAAACACCATGACCATAACGTGAGCTGGGGAGGAAAGGTTTATCCAGCTTGCCCTTCCACATTGCTCTTAAGCACTGAAGGAAGTCAGGACAGGAACTCAAACAGAGCAGGAACCTGGAGGCAGGAGCTGATGCAGAGGCCACGGAGGGGTGCTGTTTACTGGTTTGTTTTTCCTGGCTTGCACAGCCGGCTTTCTTTTAGAACCCAGGTTCACCAGCCCAGGGATGGCACCACCCACAAAGATCTGGGCCCGCCCCCTGTGATCATTAAGGGAGAAAATTTCCTACACCTGGATCTAATGGCGGTAGGTCCTCAACTGAGTCTCCTTCCTCTCTGATGACTCTAGATTGTGTCAAATTGACAGAAAGCCAAAAACCAGCCAGGACAGAAAAAGATATGACGAAAACAGTTCCTACTAAATGTCTATGCTGCTTGGAGGTAGATGGGGGAGGAACCGTAAAGATTGGAGGGTCTAACAGTAGGCAGCTCCCGGGGCCAATCTCACCATGTGTCTACAGCTGTTGCCAACTGCCACCCACACACTCTGGGACTCTCTCTCTCTCTCTCTCTCTCTCTCTCTCTCTCTCTCTCTCT